GAAGACCCAGGACACGCTGGAGGGACTATGTTTCTCGGCTGGCCTGGGAACACCTTGGGATTCCCCCAGAGGAGCTGGCCCAAATGGCTGGGGAGAGGGATGTATGGGTCTCTGCTTAGGCTGCTGCCCCCACGACCCGATTCTGGATAAGCGGCAGAAAACGGATGGACGGACAAACTTGCCAAGATAAAAGAAGTGTTGAAGTCAAGCAAGCAAGACGAATAATGGATYATTTAAATCAGGAGTCTCCAACCAGTAGCTCATGAGCTCATGTAAAGTAGCTCTTCGGTGCTTATGTCATCTGCAAACATCATAGTCCATGGGGATTCCTGTCTAACCTCATATCTGTCAATCTGTCCATCACCACAGCAAACAAGAAAGGAGTCAGAGCTGATCCTTGGTGGAGTCCTACTTCCACCTTAAACTCCTGTCACTCCTACAGCACACCTCACTAGTCTTACATGCTTACATGTTCTGCACCACTCTTACATACTTCTCAGCTACTCCAGACTTCCTCACGCAGTACCATAGCTCCTCTCTTGGAACCCTGTCATATGCTTTCTCCAGGTCTATAAAAACACAATGCAGCTCCCTCTGACATTCTTTGTATTTCTCTATCAACATCCGCAAAGCAAAGACTGCATCTGTGGTATATTTTCTTGGCATGAAAATGAATGGTTGTCTCAATGCGACTCTGCTGGACATGCCGCCTTTCCAGGGTGACCCCTAAACTCTCGCACAGTGAACCCGGGAGATCTACGCCAGCTCCTACACTGTTCCTTTTTTTTCAATACAGTGAATCTCTCAGAAAATTAAAGTTTTTATAGATAATAAAATTTTGAGAAAATGCCCTATTTTAATGTTTATTTTATTCTTAAATATGTGCATAATGGCATTTTTGTGCATAATAAACCATATACTGAATAAAAAAATATATAGTCTTGTCAAAGGTGGGAAATAACCTAGTGGATCAGCAGTGGATATATCTGCAAAAAATGTAGAAAAATGTGATCAACACTAAAAGACACTAAACGCCAAAATACCCATTTAATATCCCATGTACCAAATCTAAAAATAGTTCTTTAAAAAGTGACTGAGTCCACAGGTCATGTTACTTTTCTTCACACTCACTGTGGCACATCGTGATGTTACCATCGTTAAAACACTTTATTAAAATGTTGCAGATCCTGCAGTTGAAAAAAAGGCATTTTCTTTTACAAAAAAACACACCAGCATTTCTCAATGGCCTTAAGATGTGGTGACTCCCCCTTTCACAGTAAATTGAAACTTCCTGCAGACTGAGGAGCAAACATCTGATATATTCTTTTCACAATGTACTGAAGCATCTCAGTAATTTAGGCAGAAAAATTAAAAACAAAAATAACTAAGTAGGTCCTCTGGATGGTTTCTTCTATAACTAATGAAACATTTCATCTCTCCTCCAAGACACTTCTTCAGTCTGAGGAGTTTCAGGTGATCTCAGCCTTGTAAGCACTGCCTCCACATGGTGGACAAACAGGTTGGTCACATGCAAAGGAGCACCATCAGCCAATCAATAGCTCCATATTTCCACAGCTGAAGTTCGAAGCAGCTCAGTGCCTGCACTGAAAACCTATATGTGATGTCAGACTGCCCTCTGCAGGTGGGTGGAAAAAAATTATTTGACACAATTACAGAAACAAACATTTGTATTGTCCAAAATAGAAAATTGATTGGTTTTACAAACTAAAACGCACGATAAAAACGTTTGCATTTTTAATATTAAACATTTATCTTGAAAAGAAATGTACAAAACKATCAGAACAGATGAGGAAAACCATTTAACTTAAAGCAACACACTCGTTTCAATTCTAAAACTGTAACAGACTTTTATCTTAGCAGTAGAGTTGGTAGAGAAAACAAAGCTGTAAAAAAATTTCTGGACTTAACTTTATGAGGTAGATACGTTATTACACAATAATAAAGKCAATTTTACACAGGCAAAAATTAAAAGTAAAGATATAATAGAACAATTTCCTCAATTTCCTTTAGAGATGCCTTATAGTTTCTGTTTAGATTGTTTTATTCCAGCTGGATTATAATATGTCCCAAATGCAGTATTACATTTTTTTTAAATAAATATGCTTCGTAACTTGTTTGTGGTCAGAATACATGATGGGGATGATGCTCAGCTTCTACCACTTCAACATTTAGCTCAATTTCTTTAGAACAGACAACCAAACTGAAAAACCCACAGGGGTGATTTAGCATAGTTTACAAACCCACAAGATCAACGTCAAATGAGTGAGGAAATACAAATTGCAAAACATCTTGTTACAGACTTGGAAAAAAAATATACAACATAATGCCAATCAACATTTGCAATTTGTACAAAARAATAAATCATTTATAATTTTATTTTGGGCAAATCCAAATATGGCTTTAAAGGATCATGCTTTGAATCCCCTTTTTACATTTAAATCAGGCAGTTGAGGTCTACTTAAAGTGGAACTGCAATGCTTTGGTCTGAATTCCCCCTTGTTGYAACTCCACAAGTACCTCTTTCCCCCTTCTCTGAGGTCTGTCCCAGATTTAGTTTTGAAGYTGTCTCTTTAAATTCAACAAAGATGCTTCAAAAACCGCCCCTCTCCAGCTACCAGAGCGGTTGATTATACTTTGATAGAGGGGTTCATGACYATATAGCTACTCAGAAACTTTTAATTTACAAATTAATCAAAAGATGTCAACAAGGGAAGACTTGTCCATCCAATCTTACATGCGCATAAGTCTGACCCAGAGACAGAGGAGAATGAAGATGATCAAATTATAGTTCATAAGTCCAAAACTTATGGCAGTTCTGTCGCAAATAATTTGGCGTGATAGTTCAGAAAACGYCACAGAAAATAGAGAAAACTGAACGGGCTGAGCAAATATGATCAAAAAATAATGCAAAACTATCTGTGCAGCACTGAGGAAGACTAAATTTAACTTTTCTGCACTCCTAGAAACTCAAAAGTACAAAACAAAAGTACAAAACAAACCACATTYAACCATTTCATCTTGCTGGGTTGATCAAACAGTAAAAGTGTTATTCATCTGTTGAAAGCACTCATTTGACTCAGGCAATTACTTTACATAAAATGTGCCTGCTTGCTACTGCTTTTTGTGCATAATGCAACAGACATTTTCAGAAGTGTAATGTTTCTCCATCTTGACCAGAAATGAAAAAGTAGTCCCATGTTGTCCACAAGGACATGAATTACTTGCATCAGCTACATGATTCCCTCATTGATCCAATGAAAAACTAAATATTTGCTCCCCCCACTGAGAACATTTGAAAAAAAAAAAAAACTCAGCACCGAACCCCTTTTTTTATCATGACATAGTACCAGTTCATTTGTGAAACACTCGTCGTCGTCGTAGCAATCAACTTGGAGAGGCTACAGCTGCTTAGAAGATGCCGAGGGTTCACAAGAAACATCGTCTCGTCAGGGGGGTTGGTGGGAGAAATACCCAGGTGCTTCAGGCACATGCCCAGGTAGGCGTCTTCAATGAAGATGGGTTTAATTTGAAGTGAGGCATTTAGGATTTTGGGAGGGAGATCCATGGACATGACGTATGCAAATCCCAGTGGATAGGGGGGGTACTCAGGCTCAGGAAAAACAGATATGGGCATGTAAAATTTGTTGAATCGACTTCTTAAAACTGGGCTGTGCCACCAGACCAAACCAGTCATGTAGTTTTGTTTGGGTGTATTGGGATTAAGCAAAAGTTCCACCAAATTTTTCACATGCAGCAACACATCTGAATCGATTTTTAGAATATAGGAAACTTTGGAACAGTACTTTGACAGCCACTCCAGCATGACCATAGTCTTGATGGTCAAATTGCGATAGCTGTCCTGGAAGTTGCTCTGAATGAGGTCATGGTACTGCAAGCTCTCCTGTTTCAGTCTCTCCTGCTGAGCACCATTTTCCCCAGACAGGCCCACTACAAAGACTGTCTCGACCAGCTTGTCCAGAACCATTTTCTCCTTTCCCCACGTCCTTCGGATCAAAGACCGGGCTTTCAAATCACTGGGAGAAACAGGAATCATTAAGAGCAGAAACGGAGTGGTGTTTTTACATGTCTGAGTGTCATCTGTGATGAATTTGTAGTTCCGTGGATAGGCCACGTGATACGGTCCCGGGTCCTCCCAGTGAGGTTCAGGTGACGGAGCCTCCCATGGATCATGATGCAGCTTTGATTTTCTATATACTGGACTCCTCCAATGTTTTGTCTGTCTCTCAGCATTGAAATATATTACAAAGACCATCACTGGCACCATCACCAGTGCAAAGGCAAACACTTCCTTTAGCCGCTTTCTGTTGTCCATCAAAACTAAACGTAAAAAGAAGAGAGAAAGAGACATGTTATGAGTGTAACAACACTTTCAGCTTCAATGTGTGTTAAAAGAGCAAACTCAAGTTTCTCTGACACAATACATCATACTGTATCTTTTTAGAAGCCTAAAATAACAGGAAAAATCAGAGGGAGTGTTAGAATCTGACATCAGGATATTTCCTGGTCTAAGTCACTTCAGYTTCYTCCAACAGACCAAAATCCTGTATGCTAAGTTAATTGGTAACTTTAAAATCTCACTAAGCCTGAGTTAGAGCATACATTGCTTCAGTTGTCTTTATGAGGCCCTGTGATGAACTTAAGACCTGTGCATGATAACCCCCTGCCTCTAACAGAGTGACTGCTGGAGAAAGATAGCAGCTCCACATGACTGGAAAAAAGTGGGTAAAGAAAATAGATGAGTGAATGAATGATGAACCCTTCAAAGTTTATAAACATTGTCAAACAAATATTCTCTCAAAACAATTTACCTATTTTCTAGCCTTTTTGATTTGTCAAAAAGCAAAATACTTAAAAACTCTCATGTTTTTTTTCCTTGAACGTAGAATTGGCTAACTTTTGAAGTCAGTCCAAGTCAAGTTGGCCACCACAGCTAATTATGGCCCCCACACATGAAGCGTTAAATGGGAGTCATATTGTTTTCGTACTGTTTATTTATTTATTTTTCTCCGGAGATTTTTGGTCAACCGTAGTACAAAAACGGCTGCACCAATCAACATGAAATTTGGCAGGGTGGTAGATGAGTCTGACCTACACTGCGCCAGCCAACGGTTTTATGATAGACCCCATATTGGAGGAGGGGGCTCCATTCAAAGAGGGGGTGTTTGGACATGCAAAAATGCTTTTATAACTCAAAAACTGTTAAACATAGAAGCTTCAGATTTATTTTGTTGTTTAGGTCTGATGAAGCTTTATCCATCAGGCCCACCAATCAGTCCACCCCCCACCCCCTCTCTTCATGAGAAGATGATTTTAAACACAAAGTGAATATGTATCAGGTTTTGCTTTATTCTGTAACAACAGTTGAATGTAACTCTGATTTAAAGTACAATAATCTTAGGATAATGGTTATTAGGGAAAGAGTTTTAGAAGGCTGCTAATGTGATAAAAGTTGATTTTGAGCTTAGAGTATCAGCTCTGAGTGTGAGGAAACAGGAACTTCTGTAACTATTCCAGACGTCAAGTGAYATTTGAACCCGTCAGCGATGGGTTCAAACGTCAAATGAGGAAGTCAAGCTCTGTCATGAAAACCTCTGATTTACCTTATCGGGCGACATGCATTGTAAACCAATAAGAGCTTCTTAAAGGGATCCATGATTAGTTGTAACATWATAGACTTTATTTAATAAACATAAACATATTTTAACTGTAAAATAAAGTCTAAAATACTGTAGGATGTTCAGCTTTTACCATTTTTAAACTAAAAGTTTAAAAATATATTACACAGACAGGGCAATTTTATTTACTCGCAAAGCATTCTGGGTAAATGATGACATGGATAGGTCCTCGGTGCGAGCGAGCTATATCCACCCTGAAGGTTAATCTTGGACAATATCTGATGTCCGACTCTTTTAAATGAAACCAGAGAGCGTTGACAGAGAGGAGAAGGTAGAAATGACTCAGCCTGTAACTGAAAATATGGATGGAGGACAACAGAGCTGCTTCATGGAAGAAGAACCTCAGCTTAGCCTGTTATCTTTAGCATTAGCCCCGATGCTATCACCATGTATATGTATTAGCTCAGCCTCTCGTCACTGAGGTCCTCCATCCACATGACAGAGAGGGGAACGCAAAAATGACTCAGCCTGCAACTGAAAATATGGATGGAGGACCTCAGTTTAGCTTGTTTGTCACACTAGTGCTGAGCTAATACATATAAGGCAATATAGTGGTGGGCAACACGGGAGACACCCGTGGGCCTTGTGTTTGACACATGTGGTTTAGAATGATCAGAAATGTTAGCTTGTCAAAMTAAGATAGCTGTCACGTTCTCTAGTCCTGGCCACACCTCCTCGCTCACTAGTCTAGTAGGAAGGGGGGTGTCCAATGCACCCGAAAGATACTTTTTTAACCTAACTTTTTGTACTCCTTAAGGTGTCTAGTAAATAGATTGTGTTGGCTCCAGAGCAAATTATTGTCCCATATATGTTTTTATTGACCATCTTTAATGGCCGACCTGGATTTTCCATTGTGAATAATGACAATTTTAAATCAATATAGCTCCTAAACTATACATCCGACAGACACCATTCACCCCATTTTATTTTTGTCTTTTCATGGGTAATTGGTTGGGAAAAAGATTCCTATGATTATATCATGTTTGATGCATAATAGCTGGAGTAAACACTAAAAAAATGCTAAAATTCGCCTAAACTGAATCACAGGAACTTCTCCCCTGTACACCCTGTTGATTTTTTTTTCAAAGCTTTGTATATTTATAATCTTCAACATGCATAGTAAACAAAAGTTGATGATATCCAGTTGAAGTTTTGTCACATGTATATTTATTGTGCCATTTTTGGTTGTCGACCTGGATTTCCACAAATGCAAAAAACAGAATGTAAAATCAACATATTGACTTAACTAGACATTGTGCAGAGGCAAATGACCCCAGTTTTGGTTTCATTTTGGCATGAGGAATTAATGGAGATGGGTAGTGACATGGCTGGAGGCTTTATGAAGCATTGTCACTCAAATAAATGGAAAAATGTAGGRAAAAAWAGGTGGAATTGGGCCTTRGAGAAAAGAAAACCATCCCAAAATTAATTAGTCATCAATTAGAAGGTCTTCATAATTGAGATATCTTGCTCTTCAATGTYTTCCWCATCTATATCCTCTACTATTTCCTCCAGCAAGTCAATCAGTGTAGTAGGGCAGATTGGGCYACACTTTAATCTGATCATCTTATTCTGATTGTGGAAAACTGACCTGACTGCATGTCTGCTGACTTTCATCAGCAGTTTCCAGCAGACAGAACGTTTCCTCCTGTTCTCTCATAAAGGAGGAAGACACACAGCCTGCCGTTSCGCAAAAATAAATAAATAAAGTCCGTGCGTCACCTGCAGCTGAACCAGAGTGTGCATTAACGTCTCCACAATTATTAAAACCTGTCGCAGGTCCTTTCTGAGCTCAGAAGCTGTTTGTTTATGTTCATCATGAAAGTAGAACTTTTTTCTGTGGGTTTATTTATTTATTTTGGCGGAGGGAGTTGGCAACTGTGCATGTCAGTGCTTCTATTCAGAATAAAAGCCTGGTGCATGTAAACACTCGTCATGATCGGATTGTGTCCATGTAAACGATACATACTGATTATTTAATCCAAATACATTTCAATCCGATCAAAGAATTTTGAGCATGTAAACATAGCTAATGATTTGGGGGAGGGGTGCTCTGTGGGGTGGCAGATCAGCTCAGACTGGACTCCAGGGAGGAGCTGTGTACAAATAAGCGGTGCTTTGAACCAGCAAGCGTTTAGGGAGCTCCACATGGCTACCAGGAGATTCAAGGATTTCTCAAACCTCCATAAATAATCCAAAGCAACACTTTGGGTACGTTTTCGGAGAGAGTGACATTACAACATGATATAAAGATCAAAAATGTCAATTTTGCCTAATTTTCCCCTTTAAAATTTTTTTTTTTCAATCTCAGATTAAGGTTATTGGCTTTTGTCATTTTCCTGTTCTGTTCCATCTGTTGCTCCAGCATCTCCACAGCCAAGTGAAGYTGTATGAACTGAATTTTATGTTGTGTTTGCAAATAATGACAAGATTCCAAGCAACAGGACTGGAAGTACARGGGTGGCACAGTGACACAATTGGTACCTGCCACCTCTAATCAAGAATACTTAAGGTAAAATACAACAAAGCAAGACAAAGACATGTTGAAGGTTCAGAGTAATTCAGTTTCACTGGGGAACAGTTCAGAGTAGCTTAGCCAGAGTGCCTCTTAAATCTATATGTGTACTTGGTATACATGTCAAGTGGTAAAATAAAATTACGCTAAAACCCACAGACCAAACACAGGAAGCACAGAAATGAAAGACTCTTGACGAAATGTCAAAAACTCAAACACAAAGTTATTGTTTGCACAAACATTTCACATTCATACACTTTCTATAAAGCTCAATTAACTGATCCTAACTTAAGTAGATTTCTAATGTAGCTCCAATTTCTGTTGGATTCCTGTATCAATACCCTTGACTTAAGCATCACATTACATTTTGCTTTTTAATTTTAAAGACTGAATTAAGTTGAACTGTTTTGGCTTCATTTACCAGAACATGTAAAATGCAAAATTAARGAGCCAAAACAGCTAAACTTAATTCAGTCTTTTACTATTTCCGTACCCCCACCATAGGTGCATTAAGTCATACGAACCTTTGATTATGAACAACCACAGATGTCCAGTAAAAGCACTTACAGAATGGTGCAAATCAGCTGTGGGAACAAGGACAGAAGAATTAGATATATTAGTAAAAAAAATGACATGAAATTTGAAGAGGAAATCAACCACAGAGCAGCACATGAAGAAAAAAGTCCATGGTTTACTTTAAATAATCACTGAGTTTTGTAGCAGTCAAATAATTTTTAGTTTTGCTTTCAGTGTAACAAAGTACAGGTCTAAATACAACAATCCTCATAAACCACTGACATTTATTTACAAACTTTAAAAAAAGTTTAAGCACAATGGCCTAACGTTTAGAGATATAAACAAAAACAGGATATTAACTTGAACAAATTGTTCTATTTTTACTAGGAATGTACCAATCCAGATTTTTTTGGCTCCCAACATGATCCGATTTTTTAAAATGATTGGTTTTTCTGATTTATTTATTTATTTATTTATTTATTTATTTATTTATTTATTTATTTATTTATTTCCAAGTGACAAGGTTGGTAGTGCTAAAG